ATTAGGAGGGTAATTTAATGGATTTAGGCATATTGTCAAAATTAGGAATTTGTTTGATTTAAATGAAAATTGGGCCTACAATTGGATCTAATCAGGCTTTAATTTTGTCTAGAATAGGATTGGGGATACTGAATTTTGATTTGGAATTGAAATTGGGCAAGATTGGGGTCAATTGCGCCAAAATTGTGGTTAATTTTAGGACATTTGGGCATTTAAGAGCAAATTAGGGCCTTTGGTCAAATTGGGTTAATTGGGTCAAATTGAATCAAATTGATGATAAAAAATTGAAATTAGGAATATTTTGGATGATTTTGAAATTTTTGGGAATTTTGGAAATTTTTAGGTCATGAGGGGCATTTTGGTAATTTTTGGCAATTTTTGGGGATATTTTGGAAATTTGGTCATTTTGTGAATTTTGGTTAATTTAGGTAGTGGTGAGTGGTTTGAAATGATTTTTGGAAAGATTTGGGTATTTTGGGTAATTTTGGTGATTTTGGCAAAAATTAGGGTTGTAGGGGTATTTTGGTGATTTTTAGGCCAAAAGGGACCAATAAGCCATGAAGCCATACCTAGGGATGTCAAAATAGCTCGTTATTCGCAAACAGTTCGTGTTCGGTTCGTCAATGAGTTTGTGTTGGATTCGTTCGATAAGTAAACGCGACGAACATGAAAATTTTTATTTATTCGGTTAGTTAAACGAACCAAACACGAACAGTGATGCATTCGTTCGTATTCGAATCATTATTGTTCGAAATGTAAAATAAAAAATTTATGATATTTTAAAAAAATGAAATTTTATAAATTATAATATATAATAAATTAATAATCATAATAATATATTAAGATACTATATTAGTAACATACTAATATGGATATTATATATTTATATAATATATGTTATATAATTAATATAATAATACTTGGGATGTCAAACTGGCTCGTCGTTCGCGAATAGCTCATTTTTGACTCATTCGTTATGAAACGAACACGGACAGTGACTTCACGAACGAACAGTGACTTCACGAACAATTTCGAACATGAGCTTATTTCAAACAAACTAAATTTCAAACTAATCGAACACGAACACAAGCTCTGTTCGTTTGTGTTCGCTTCGTTTACACCCGTAGCCATACCAAACCAATAGGAGTCATATGAGGACTTATTTTGAGGTCTCAATATTCTGGTTCTAACCCTCTTAACCAAAGATTAAGGGTATAGATTCATCCATACCATATTTCCAAAAGGAGTAGGAGACCAACCTAAGGGGTCATAGGGCTTAGGGTATGTGAGAGAATGTAGTGTGTGCAAGTTAGCCCCACCAAAACCAGACCACCCAGGGTTAGTCTTAAGGTCTGACCATCCTATGGGGGACTATCCTTGAGCTCCTCTATATTGACCCCACCTACTAAGTAATAGAGGTTATGACCAACATGTGAAACTTCAAGCTGAGCAAAGAAGGGTTTAAAATTTCTAATGGTGAGGGTTCATTTTCTAATCCTCTAGGAATAGTCAACATGAAAGTTCTATGGTTAGACCCAAGGGTACTAAAGAGGAAAAACTAGACCTCAACCAAAAATGAGGTTAACATTTATCCTTTATCTCTTAGTTGTATCATCATGTTTATTTGTTTAAGTGTATGACATGTTCATCATGAACATTGCTAGCATTCAATCTTAATCCACATATTATTTTTGTATCCTCAATTTGGAATTTCTGTATAAGAAAGAAAGAACTTCATTTATGGAATACTGCAATTGGCACAAAACAAAATGCCTTACTATTCCCATAATACTACGTAGTTTTGGAGTAAACAAAACAATCCACGATGATTCAAGAGTTTGATAATCACGAGTATCAATCAACAACAAAATTCACCGTGGTTCTACCAAATACTACCAACATAAACAATACCCTAGGTTGGCTTGCGGTAGATCTCCTCCTACTCCATTCCGATTGCAAGTCTCAGAAGAACGAGCTTCCTCATGTTAGAAAAACTGTACTTTCGGGCCATGTAGATCCCGCAAGAAGCTCCCATAAGAAAGCTCTCCATTCCAGCGCCTTCAAGCCCACGCAATTGCTCCCAATGAACACAAAAGAAACCTAACAAACCTTGGTTTGACAAAGACAAGAATTCGAGTTCCCTCCAAATTTCGAAAATATTGTGTCATTCTTCCACATATAAAATATTTTGCATTCATTGTCTGCAGAACTGTCGGGCAACGATGAGGCAAACAAGTTTGGTGGCCCGGCCATGTTGAGCTGTTTTCTCATTTAGGTCGGACTCTTTACAAAATTACACTTGGAGCTTTCACATACATACCAAATTAGTTTGTATGTGAGGCATTTACATATGCATCATCCAATTATTTTTTACATGTCTAACATCTAGTTTTTATTTTTTACATTCAGCCGCCCAAATTTTCCCTCAAAAAATATTTTCCTATATGAGTTTCCACACCCCACATGACTGCCGTCTAGCTTGGAAAATAATTTACAAAATCCAACCTGAGGTTGTGAACTAAAAATTAAGAAATAATTTCAATCAAATTAAATATAATTATAATAACATTCACCTATCAATAAAGTTAATAAATCATCTTGATCTAAATTTACAAACAAACAAAAATGTAAGTAAAATATTACTATATTTAAGAATCAATCAAGGGATTCTAACGTAGACAATGACATTGGGCAAAGTACCAATACTATTGGAGGATTATGAGTTAGTTGAGCAGAAAGAGAATTGTTATTTAAATTAATAGTGCATAAAAGATATTAGTTAAACTATGGTGAAAGGGAAATTCCAACATGTTGCAAAATTTTTTCAGACCAGACGGAGATAGAGATCGCTCTGATGATGAATTAAATCCTTAGAGATCCCTCTGATGATAAAGTAAATCCTTCAAAATTTTATCAGACCAGACGGATATAGAGATTGCTCTGATGATGAGGTCAATCCTTAAAATCACCCTGTCAGATTTAATAAATCTTGATTTAGGGACGAAACACGATAACCTGAGATGAAATACACAAAATTTTGATCTAATAAAGGTTATATTTGGCTAAATTTAGCCTAAATCTATACCTAAATTTTATTTAAATAATGTTATCATGCATTGTTTAAGTAACTCTTGTTGAAAACAAATTTTCCTAAACATTTACATAATATTTTCTCTAGAAATTAATTGTAGTGACACTTTTCTTCCAATTCATTCATCTGTCGACTTAGAGAAGCAAAAATTGGGGGAAGGAGGAGAAGCTCAATCTCACATTGTTCTTCCTCCGCTGTGTTCCCGCATCTATTTCTTTCATAGGTACCGAAGTTTCTTGGCTTTTTTCCCGTTCTGCTGCTCCTTAGCAAGGAAATATCTCAAAGACGTCTTCATCTCTTCTTCTTAAGAAGAAGTTCTACATCGATGTTGGTGCATTAACTTGTATCGATATCATTATAACGGCTATTTTAATACTAAAGTTCCCTTGGCAAAATTCTAAGGTGAGACTTGACAAGTTTGTTGTGGAGGGTTAAGCTTGTGCCCTCCACAAGCTTCATTCAGATTTATGGGATTCGCCCTCTATTCACATGAATTGCATTACATAGTTCGAGCTTACCAATTGCATATGCATTTATATTAAGTTGATTATTTCAAATAAATGGGAAGTAACCTTAATTGGTACATTAACAAATATTTTTAAAGATATTTTGTCAAATATTTATAAGAGAAGAGTCTTAAACAAAATCTTCATAACATTCAAATCTTCATAACGTTGAAATTACTTAAAGATTTTGTCAAATATCTATAGAGAAGAGTCATGTTGACACAAGATATAAGTGTTTGTACCAACATAATGTATGGTAAGATGGAATTAATGCACTACAAATTTTAGTGATAATAAGATAAGTTGCATAAAAAATTAGAGGAAGAATATTGAGAAGCCTATAAGAATTAAGAGGGTGTATATCATTTTCTCTTTTATATTATAACTTCAAACATAAAAAATATTTATGTATAAAAGTTTATACGTTTATTATAATGCTAAAGTCTCCTAAACTTTTATTTGCCCAACTTGAATTAATTTAAATATATAAAATGATGTACATTAAGAAACTTTCCTGTAATAACAATTACCATTTTTTCTTTTTAATTGGTTTCTTATAATTAATTAAAAATTTAGTTCTCATTTTTTGCACGTAATTATCACTACTAAAAGTGGCAAGGATTTGATGACATCCAACAATTACAAAAATAATAAAATTAGCACATTTTCTTATAGTAATCTAATTGAGTTTTCTGGCAAGAGTTCTCATAACGAAATAATAAAGTTAATTAAGAAAATAAACTATAAAAAATTAAAAGATTCAAAAATAAACATCTCACAAGAGGGAACTGATACATATTATTCAACAACATTTAAAACATGCATGCATCCATCCAATACATATTGCACAGCTTTTTGGAACAAAAAGAGTGCGGTGATGCTTATTATATGTAACTTAGTAAAAACATACTTGATTGAAAGATCAATAAACAAACTATGTATAGATCTTTCTTTATTTTTCATTATGAAAATGACACTCCATTACTTATTTGATGATGGATTGACGCCATAGAAGAAAATCCCCCTCTTGTATTTAACTTCCTCGCTTACCACCGCTATTTCAATATAATCAGATTCATCTCCAACGCTAATTTCATCAGATTCAACGGTCACAAGATGATCAGAGCGAAAAATTACTGCATCCTTGGTTGTATACAAACCATTGCCCTTAACAAGTAGAGTAAGTCTAATGGGGTCATCTAGGTTATACTTAAATTTATAAGAAAATTTATATGGGCTGTTTGGATCAAGACCAAGCTCTTGGACCTTTACACGTTTGCCAATAAAGAAGTAGCTTCCCCCAGAATAATATTTTGACCTGAAAATAAAAAAGTAACCTTTTTTATTTACATGATATATTACCTATACAATCTATAAAATGACATACGAAACTACACACTAACCCATCAGGCTGGGTGTTCCAAGCATTCGACCAGATATATGTAAAGTCATTAGGTGGAATCTGAGCTGGGGTTGCCATGATCTTCAATTAATGCTAATCTCAAAGATAATTACCTGCTGACATTCATGGAAACAACAAGTATTATAATTTAATTCATTTTCTATTGAAAACATGTAAATGGCAAATATACAGCTGATAAAACAATTACCTTACAAACCTTCTTGCTTCTGCACGGCTTTGCACTTCTTTCTTGCCGCTTATATATAAGTTTATAAACTCTCTGAAAGTTCAAATGCTCACATTAAACTCACAAATTGTATCTATTTCTATGACCCTAAATAATATATTAAAAGACTTGCTAATAAAACAATATTATATGACCATTTTAATTATTTTATATGAAGTCTTTTTTTATTATTTTATATGACAAACAAAAGTTTCATATGCAGTCTTTTTTTTAATTAAATTTGTGATCACAACAACAACAACAACAACAATAAAGCCTTAATCCCACTACGTGGGGTCGGCTACATGAATCCTTTTTCTCCATTGCGTCCTATTTAGTGTCATATTTTCATTTAGTTCTAATAAATTAAGATCATTTTTTATACAATAAGCCCAAGTCTTCGTAGGTCTACCTCTGCCTTTCTTAACATATGTCGAATCTAAAACATCTACTCTCCTAATCGGATCATCAGATGATCGACGCTTAATGTGTCCAAACCATCTGAGAGGACTTTCTCTAATTTTGTCCGTCACAGAAGCTACACCAGCCCTATCGTGGATATATTCATTTCGCATTTTGTCTCTAAATGTAAAGCCACTTATCCACCTAATCATTCTCGTATCGGCAACACTCAACTTAGTGTTATGCTTCTCTTTTAAAGGCCAGCATTCCTCCATTTCAACCAACCAACTTCATTCTCTGAAAATTTCTGATAGATATATATATATTATGCAAATTTAAACATGAAGTTTGTAAAGCCACTTATCCACCTAATCATTCTCGTATCGGCAACACTCAACTTATTATAGTACTCAATCATAAGACTTCCCAAGATTAATAAAAATAATTTGATGATCAATTCTTTCTTCTATATAATTCTCTATTTATTTTCTTAAAATACAATATAGGTGCATTTACATACATAACACGTAATTCTTTTGTATTTACATATCTCACACCCAAATTTTGATATTCACCTGCACTTCGCTCAATTCTTTCCTATCACATCAACATTACCACTAATTGTTAATGCTCCAAACTCAATTCCACTTTTTCATGCATGGGAAAAGTTTGGTTAATCCTAAATTAGTTTGATTGTATTTCAATCATCCAAGCATATTCATTAATAAGAATTCCGTTATTATGTTGTTTATATTGTATTTCCAATGAAATTTCTTCATTAAAATTCTTGCCAAGTAATTTCACAAGTAACATTTTAATATTAATAAAAATACCGTGTGGAAGGTATAAGAAAAGATAGTAATGTAAACTGTAAAAACGTACCTGACGAGTCTTCTCGTTCCACCACCTTAGACGTCAATACTTGCAAGGCATGTATATAATACTGCAAGAAACTTAAATTGCATTAGTAGATGGAAGTTTAGCTACCCAAACCTCAGGCTATGATTTTGTTAAGTCAGTCCTGGAAGATCTTATTGGATAACTTTAGAACAAAATATGACAAGTTCAATTTGTCCTTCAAAATATCCAAAATATTTCAAAGTGCTCGGGGTATGACCCTGAACTATTTTGGAGATCTCTTTGATTAATTGAGTTCATTTCTAAACTTATCATATCATTCTATCAACCATCCAAGTTTAAAGTGTGACCATCTCGTTGCTCAGCGAAACTTAACAATTTAACTATCCCAATAATATGATACTCGATTTGTCATTTATCGTTTTACTTAAGAGTTATGTGGATGGGTGCCCCTAAGGCAAATTGAGGTCATTTAAGATTGTGGCACCCATATTTAAGGTCAGGCTTGTAGTGTTTAGAGATATTAATCACTGATTATGTTATCTTCTAAATCCGATCAGTTGAATTTAAATATCGAGCCTACGTCACTACTAAGCCTTTAACAATTATGATGGATAAAATGGTGATTATCAAAATTTTGATTTCAAGTGATGTGCATTCTTACCAATTGGTCACATCATCCTCAATTTCAAGCTTAAGAAAAGTAAACCATCATCTTTCTCACTTAAGCCCATTACTTAAGAATCATTCGATCTAAGTTGACTTTCCAGTCATGAAAATTAGGAGGGTTATGATTTTGTTGATGTTGTACAAGGCTAGTGAGTGGGTTTCTACCTTTTAGCTCCATTGTATTTCAATCATCCAAGCATATTCATTAATATTAAAATTACTCATTTTACCTTGGTTAATCCTAAATTTTTATTAAGGCACCAAAGTCTTAAAGTTACAATTTTGCCCTTGGGGCACTTCACCTCAACTCTTTAAGCACAACACAAACGACTTCGAGGGTTTAGAGTGTCATATCCATGAGGTGACTATAATGCTTAGAGGAGAACATGTGGACCTCTCAAAAATTTGATTTAATTTAGATAATTATTTAAATTTAGAAGATAGGATTTTCAAAAGTTAATTTATTTAATTATCCAAAATAAAATTTATATTTGTGGAAAAAAAAATATTAGAGGTTTTCTAAGGTAAAAGAAACACTTAGACAAAATATCATGATTTTTTTAATCAAATTTCTATTATTATTATTATTTAATTTTTAATCAAATTCAATGATTAAATTGAATATAAAATAATATTTTAATTGAAAAAATCATTCTTATATTTTAATATACCTCTCTAAATTCAAAAAACTCAGAGAATCAAATCTTATATTTTTGTGATTTTTAATTTATTTATTATGGTTATTTAAGTGAGAGAACATTAAGCCTTTCAAAAATTTATTTTTAACCTAGAAAAATTATGAAAAATGTTCTAATGAATTCTAAATGATCAGGGGACATTCCCACTCATTTTGAACCATTTTTTGTATTTTTGAAATTTTTGATTATTTTAATTATTTTTAATTCAAAATATATTTTAAAAATGAAATATTTTCACAAAATGGGTTTTATTTTTATAAGATGCCCCATAATCACAAGGAACTCAAAGAAATAATTTTCAAAATTTTTCTAAGCATATTTAATTTAATATTATTATTTTATATAAAAATGCAAGGTTTTCTTAAAAATCCATTTTAATGCTTAGACTAAGTCAAATAATTTTGGAATTTTTACATTGAATAAACATGATTTTTATGGAAAATGGAGAAGTGATTTTGTCAATTTTTGATAAGTGTATAATTTACATAAATTAATATAAGGTATATGCATTTAATTATGTATAGAAATTCAAAAAATGATTCAAAGCATCACAATATTTTTCATACACTTCTCTGACCACAGGAAACCTACTAAAATTATTTTCATAATTTTACAAGTGATATTTAGAATTATATAATAAAAATAGCCAAAATGGTCACCTTAGCTTGAAAATTAGGGCTAGAAGCATAGGAATGTCCTCTGACCATGAAAAAATCAGAAAACATAACCTCTGTGATTGGGAACAAACCCTCAAAATTTTAAGTCATGGTGAGCAATGTTTAGTCATGGAGAATTGAAATACCACATAGGGTATTTAATTCATTAAAAATCAGGAAATAAGAAAATAATTTTTTAGTCCACATTATTCTCCTCTGTTCACTGAGCAAGAGGGTATTTTTCTTTTATTTTTATGAATTTTCTACACAAAGTTTAGCATTTTTAAATTTATATGCATTTAAATAAATAAGAAAATCCTTATTTTTCTACTTAAGTGACGCGGCGTCGCGTCAACCTACGGCGGCTCCGAAGCTCCACACGGCGTCTTCTGGTTCGACATCGCCATCCACCTTAGCGCTGGCTCGGCCAGCGGTTCGTGTTCCATTCCTTCGTCCTGCGCAATCTCGTCCGTCGTTTGGATACACATGTGATTGGACAACTCTCCGTTATCGTCCCCAAGTGACCTAACCCGTAACCTGTTCTCACTAAAACCTTAAGATCTCCATCTAGACTCAACCAAATCGTATGGGGGTTGTTTTTAAACATTCATCTGCTCAAGACGAGGACATCTATGTGGTTGAGCACGTATAAAATCAAGCCATTACAAATGGAGAATCAAAATAAGCTCAAGTTAGGGTTAGAGCATAATATCTTTGTCTGAGAGGGGAGGCCTCATTCAGATGATTGTGGTAGCTTTGATTGGACCCAACAAACCTCCAAATGAAGTCTTATGCCCTGGTGAATTGTTTAGGTATGAATTCTATCAAGCTCAATTTCAGGTGTTGACCAAAGTCTATGCTAGGGGCTATTTCAGAGGGGGCTTTGATGGGGAATCAACTCCTCTCACTGTGAGGATTGTGTGTGCACAATTATTTTTGTTTGGTGGACTATGGAGAGATGTCCTGGTTTTAGCTGAAATTTTGAGCTTAAAATTGGGCTTCCACAATGTGGATCAGTAAGGGTAAATGGTGGCATTGAGCTGTCTGAGAGCAATTGGACAAGGCTGCTTGGAGAGTGTCTGAGAGCAATTGGACAGAGTTTCCCCAAGGATTTTTAGCAAACTTCTCTTTGTCCATAGAGGAGCTAATTAAATAGAGGACCTTAGAGGGAAGCTTAGGGCAAATTGATGGGTGAAAAGAGGTGTTTAGGTGGAGGGCTTAGGAGCTTTAAAGAGACATTGGGATGTGGTGACCTCTATGGTTGAAATTGGGTTTGATTTAGGGGTGGTGGCTCTCAGTTTTGGCTCCTTTGGTGACTGGGGTGGTTGGCCATGGTAGGGGAGGGGCTTTAGCGGCTCAACAACCTTAGAGAAATCTGTCACAACCATTAATTTGGGCTGGTGATTTTGGGCTGTGGCAAAGATATCTTCAGCTTAAGCAATTTAGAAAACAAATCCCTTGATTTAGGGGACCTTTGGTCCATGGCTCATCTATGGTGGGTTAAGTGAGTCTAGCTTGGTCACTAGGATCTAAAAGTTGGTTGTAGGAGTCTTGCCTTGATCAATTTGACATGGCTAGGTCAACTTTGGTGCATGGGTCCAATTTGGGTCCAAATAGCCAAAGATTGGGTTTGGGTTTGGGTTAGGCTAGCCATGAATTTGAGTCAAATTAATTGATAAACATTGTGTAGATGATTGTTATGAAGATTTTTGGTGAATGATTGAAGTGATTTTGAGTTCAATTGGAAGCTTAATTTAAAAAATTTTGGGAT